ACACCCTCCCTGTGTGGGAGCTGTTCCAGTGCTCTGCCACCATCTGTGCTAAGAAGTTCTTCCTCATATTTAGGTGTTTTAGTTGTGTTTTAGTTTATGGCCATTAGTCCTTGCCCTGTCTCTGGGCACCATGAACAGAGTCTGGCACCACCCTCCTGACGCCCCCTTTGAGATACTCATGTATTAATGAGATACTTATAACATTAATGAGATCCCCTCTCAGTCTTCTCTTCTCCAGACTAACCAGGCCCAGTTCCCCCAGTCTCTTTATAGGAGAGATGTTCCAGACCCCTCATAATTTTTGTGGCCTCCACTATCTTTGTCCTTTGTCCAGGCCATCTACAATTTGACCCACTGTCACCTTCTAGAGGGGTGACAGCCCCCTGCCTGCACAGAAGCTCAGGGAGAGGCAAAGGGGGAGCTGGATCTGAGCTGGGGGCAGGATTTGAGCTGCATCCCTTTGTTAAACCAGGGCCAACTCATCCCACAGCCACTGTGCCACCTTGGTGCTCCCATCTCCCTCTGCCATGGGCTTGTGCCTTCTGCCATCAGAGCTTACTGTGCAAATATTCCTGAGAAATAGTACTGAGAAAACATTCCTTGGAATGGTTTTGCATCTGGAGCCATAGATCACAGAATCACAGAATACCCTGAGCTGGAGGGACCCACAGGGACCATCCAGTCCAACCCCTGGCCCTGCACAGACACCCCAACAATCCCACCCTGTCCCTCAGAGCGTTTTCCAAACCCTCCTGGAGCTCTGGCAGCCTTGGGGCTGTGCCCACTGCCCTGGGGAGCCTGTTCAGTGCCAACCACCCTCTGGGGGAAGAACCTTTTCCAAAACCTCCATGAAGTGGGATGTTTCCCCTTTGCTCCCTGGGAAGCAGGATGTGTTTGGCCCTGTGTGAGCCAGGGTGGGGTGGGACAGTGGGGTGGGTGAGCTCTGCCTCCTTCACCCTCTGCTCTGTCCCCCAGGCCAGCTGAAGTTGTCCATCGAGGTGCGGGGCCGGACGCTGGTGCTGCACGGTGAGTACCCCCCTGGGAGCATCCCAGAGCCAGGGGGGGCTGGTGATGAGGACAGCACTTCCATGGCCTTTCTTCAAGCTCTTTGGAGCTCCATGGCAGCTGCTGGGGACAGCTCTGTGTGCAGTGGCACAACTGGGGGCTGTTTGATGCAGAGGCCGAACTGAATTTTCTGGAGACCTTCATTTTGGGGTAAACATTGTGTTTTGCACCCATGTGTATCAGTTGTTTTTCTCTAACTCCATAGGAAGATAAAAAAGGCAAATATCATTTGGAAAAGGAGGTCTTCAAGGTCATGGTTAAAGAGTCAAGCTAAAAAAGCCAAGAGTTTGAAATGGTCAGAGTAAAAACTCCCTCCCTGAGAACAGAACAGGCCCATCGCTGGCCTGGTTTTGGGATCTCTGAAAGGGGAAAGCAGGACCCTGGGGATCCCAGTGCCCTTGGGGATGGCCATGCTTTGGGGGGAGGGGGAAGTCCCCCCCATCCCAAAGGCCTTTGTGGAAGGGAAGGAGGGGATGGAAAAAGAATTCTCTTGAGCCACATCCCACCTTACATTTCAGCCTCTTCCCTTCCTGGACGGGATGAAAAGGGGACAGGGATGGCCTGAGCTTGGTGAGGCTGCAGGGCCTGGCCTGGTGCAGCCCCTGTGTCTGCTGCTCTTTCTGGCTGTGCAGGCACGTTTGTAAAAGAGCAACTGCACGAAAATGTGTTGGGATTATTTATTTTTGTTTATTTTTTGGTTTTCCCCTCTCCCTCAAGCTGTGTGTGGGTCTGAGGGTCTGGCACAGGCTTTACCCCAAATCCTTCCACCTGAAGCAGCCTCAACTGGGTGAGAGTCACTGTCCTGTTCTGATGCTGACTCCAAAAGAGGGTTTGGGAAGAGGGAAATGGTCCAGCAAAGGGGCAAAGGAGCTCAAGATCTGGGGCTGGATGTGGTGGATGCTCAGGATACTTGGTGCAGGCAGGAGGAGGCCAGGGAGTGTGGGGTGACCCATCTTCTTGATTCTGCACCCCAACATCTTCAACCCCAAAGCAGGTCTGGCTGGAGGAGGAAGCCCTTGGTGCAGCCTGTCCTGGAGGAACACTACAAAACTACTTCCTGAAGCCCCAGAGGGTCTTGCAGAACCCCTTTCCCCTGGTGCACTGGGGTTTCTGTCGGGCTGACTGTGTTTATCAGGAGCCCAATCTGTGACAGAGGCAAAGTCACTGCTGCCTTGCTGGGCTCGTTAGGAGGGAGTTTGGCCTCATTCCGACAGCCCATCCTGTGCCATCCAGACCCTGCTGCCCATCTGCTGCCCCCAGGCAGCCGAGGGGTCCCTGTGCAGTGCCAGGGCTGTGTCAGGATGAGGCTGCTGATATTTAACTTGATGACACATTTGGCTCCAGGGTGGGAGCCCAGAGCTGGGGGAAGTCAAGCAGAGGGAATGCAATTTGCCATCCTGATGCTGAACTGCATCTGCTGCTGCCCTCGCCCTCAGGTGCTTGTATTTATAGCAGGGGTGTGTTAAAAGCAAAAATGCAATAACCCCCTTCCCCTGCCCGGGGGTGCCCAGCGAGGGCAGGGAGCTGGGGAGGCTGCTGGGTGGGAGGAAGGTTTGCCCCCCCAAGGAGGGAGCAGAGGGCTGTGCAGTGTGAAGATGCCTTCCCTGCCGCTCTGGGATGTGACCATTTCATTTCCTCTCCAGTCATGGAAGCCAAAGGTCTGATGGGAAGCGAGTGCCGTGCGTGTGACTCCTACGTGAAGGTGGGTCCTCCTGGGGCTCTGCTCTGGGAGCTTTGTGCATGCTCTTGGCTGTTTGTCCCTTCCCTTTCCCCCTCTGTCCTGCCCTGGATGAGCACCCTCAGCTTGCAGGGGGTGTCTGGGCTCTTGCCCAGCATTGGGTGGCTCGTGGGTTTTGTTGGCACGGTGTCTGCATGGAGTAGAGAAGTGGATGACAGGACCCTGCTCAGGGCTGTGTCAGCCATTCACTGCAAGAACATCCCAGTGGGTGCCCAGGGACTGGTGGGGATAAACGTTTGGCCAGCACAGTGTGGCTCTGGGCTCTCTCAGAGGTCACCTTGGCAGGCTCCCACCCAAAGTGCTCAGTGCAGGAAACATCAACCCTGAGAGGGGGTGCAGGTCAGAGACCAGCCAGCAACCCTTGTGTGCAGCAGCCCTTGATTTTTCTGCTCTTTCCCTTCCCTCCCCTGCCCCGAGCAGTTGTGTAACACAATTACTTGACAGCCATAAGGGTGAAGGGATCCAAACCACCCGTTAGCACCGGCTGGGCTGGATCTCTGAGGCTCAGCCATCCGTGGAAGTGGCCGTGCCAGTCTCCTGCCACGGCAGCAGCAGAGCTGGCAGCTGATGCCAGTGCTGGCTTTGGGGGTGTTAACACGCTGCCCGTTTTCCTCCTGAAGATGTCCATCGTGCCAGATGCTGACTGGAAGTGCAGGCAAAAGACGAAGACGGTGCCGGACAGCAAAAATCCCGTCTTCCAGGAGCACTTTGTTTTGTGAGTATGACAGGGCAGGGGGAGCTCTCCCCGTCCCTCAGCACTCTGCTCGCTCTGAGCCCTGGGGACCCACGTGGCTGCTGTCCCGGGGCTCCCTCTCCGTGCCAAGACCCCGTGTTTGCTTTCGCATTGTGCTCCACAACGAACACTCCTCACGCATGGGCAGCTCTGCTGCCGAGATGAGGAGTGACAGACATTATTCTGCTGGTTCTTGTAGCTGAAATGCCTTGAACTGTTGGGCAGAGCTGTGTGGAGGCTCGCAGAGCTGTCAGCACACAGCGTGGCCGGACTGTCTTGCTGGGCAGGAGTTTGGCTCCATTTCCTAGACCTTGCACCTGCAGTAGTGGGGGCACCAGTATGAAAGAGGAAGGTAAAAAGGTTTCCTTAAACTCCAGCATGTCTCTGCATGGGAAAGGAGCTGCATGACAGAGTGTTTTGGTAGAGCTGGCCACTGCTGGCCATGCCAGACCTCTGACCCACATGCAGTGTTTAATTTGGCGCAGGGTGGTTGTTTCAGAGCACGAACCGTGGCTTGTCCCTTCCATTTACCTGTTGGTGTTGGATGTGTGTCTTCCTGCAAGATTATTTTTCCCCTTAAACCACTTGAATGGTGTCCCCAGTGCCTGCCCAGGAGGGGGCACATCCCTTTGCACTGTCTGTCGGGGGTGAGTGAATTAGTGCAGCAGTGGCTGTTGGAGGAGGTTGCTGTTTGGGGTGGTGCTGCAGTCCTGTGCAGAGACTGGAGGAGCAGAACTGTCCCTGAGGAGGCTGAGGGGTGTCTGGCTGTAAAGGCAGCCCTTGCTGGGTGCTCCTGGGGAAGGTCTGTGCTCATGGACTGTCCCCTCTGCCTGTTACAGCCCAGTGCAGGAGGAGGATGAGCAGAAGCGTCTCCTGGTCACAGTCTGGAACAGAGAGAGAAATTCCAGGTAAGGGGCTGCCAGCTGCTGTGTGATCTCTCTCAAATGGGGCTGCTGTGGCAGAGAACCTGCCATCTGCTCTGCCATCCAATCTCAGCTCCTCCAGTGCCCTCGAGGGCTGGTCCTGCCCTCAGGGTGCCCTGCACGAAGGGGGTGAGCCAGGGACACCCTGAGCAGGGTCAGGCTCATGGGCAGCTGGTGCTGCTGAGCACCTCACCACGGGCAGGCTGGCAGAGAGCAAACCCTGCCCTTGTCCCTCTGTTGCCATTGCTGCTGCTTGGTAGCCACTGTCTGGGCCAGCATTTCACTTGTGCCTGCACCGCTGGCCAAAGCCAAGGGGAGCTGGAGCTTGGCCCCGGGCTGGGACCTGCCCTCCCTCTGGGGCAATGCAGGGAGAGGAAAGCCCAGCACAGAGGGGCTGGCACCTTGCAGGCTGTGCCACCTGCCTCCTCAGCCCAGCTCCTGCCAGCACCAGGCAGGCTGGAGGTGCCCAGGGTGCTGTGGCCCAGCCCCTCCTTGCCCTGCTGCAGCTGATTGATGTGGGCACACCAGGCTTGCCCAAAAAAGGATGGAACTGGGGGCATGTCCTGGGCACTGCCTGGCTCCTGGCATGGGCAGGGTTATCTGTTAGAAGGGATGCAAGGGGGGATCTGGTGCTTCAACAAGTGTGTGCTGATGGTCCCTGGCTCTCCCACAGACAGAGTGAACTGATTGGCTGCATGAGCTTTGGTGTGAAGTCCCTCCTGTCCCTGGACAAGGTACCTCCCTGCTGGAATGTCATCTGTGGGGCTGGGGCCTGGGGTCAGTGGGTGGATGCAGTGCACCCCTGGAGCAGGAGCAGGGTTCTTCTACCAGGGGAGAAGGTGCTCAGGGAATTCCCTGGTGCCATTCCCAGCATGGATGGCTCTGTGAGGTTGGTGTGATTGCTGGAGACAATGGGATGGAGGGGGAGGGACTATCACTCCCTTCTGCAGGGACACAGAGCAGAACTGAGGGTGCAGAGAGGTGACCCCAACACGTGCTGCCTGCCCAGCATCCAGTAGAGCTGCCTGGGGGCAGGTGGGGCCAACCTTTCTCAGCCTGGCCTGGGTCACATCTGGCATGTTGTTCTTCCCCTAGAGGTGGTTGGCACTGAACAGGCTCCCCAGGTCAGTGGGCACAGCCCCAAGGCTGCCAGAGCTGCAGGAGGGTTTGGATGATCCTCTGGGGCACAGGGGGTGACCCTTGGGGATGGGCCTGTGCAGGGCTGAGGGTTGGACTGGATGGTCCTTGTGGGTCCATCACGTTCTGTGATTCCTCCAAGGAGGAATCTGCCCGGTTCCCTGTGCTCACCGGCGGTGGGCAGAGGGCAGACTCGGAGGTTTCAGCTGTTCCTGGAGGAATTCTGCGCAGGAATCCCTGTCCCTGCGGGTTTGGTCACAGTGCTGCTGCCCCAGCCTGGCTGTGTTTGGGAGTACAGCTGTCACGGCAGGTTTTTGCCTTCCCCGGGCAGCCTGCAGGCAAACGGCTGCCAGCGACCCACAAAATGAGGGAATGTTTCATCCCGGCAGGGATTCTGTGCCTGGACAGCCCTGGTCATTCCTCTGGACAGCAGAATGTCCAGCAAGCTGGAGGGGTTTCATGGAAGTGTTAATACATCCCCTGAGCTCTCAAAATCACAGAACATCCTGAGCTGGAAGGGACCCCCAAGGACCATCCAAGTCCAACTCCTGTCCCTGTACAGGACAGCCCAACAATCCTACCCTGTCCTGAGAGCATTGTCCGAATGCTTTTGGTTTTTTAGATTTCCACACCTGGGGTGTGGAAATTCTCTTCATAGCAGGAGCTATGAAGGAGCTGCTGGTGGCAGTGACCTGAGGAGAGGCTGAGAGGCAACTCGAGCATGGCCCCCTCTGAAATGTGGGCAAGGGAGGTGCAGCTTTCTTATGGCAGTGAAGATAATGAGGCAGAACAGCTCTGAACTGCAGCTCCCCCTGGGAGGGATCTCTGCTCTGGTCAGAATTGCCCCCCCAAGAGATGTCCCTTCCCTCTCAGATTTGGGCAGGGAGTTTCCCAGTGCCATTGCACACAGAGCAGGTGGAGTGTCCCTGTGAGAGCACCCACACACGGCTCTCACAGGGTGGGAGGAGGCTGCTGGGGGCACGTGGTGCTCCTGGGACCTCAGCAGGGCTGAGATGGGCTGGCCCTGTCCCCTGGGTGCTGCATGATGCTGCTGGATATCCCCCCTCACCCCCCTTGGCTCAGTTTCCTTGTTGTGGATTTAAAATGCTCATTTTAAGCTGGGCCCCTTCCTCTGGGACCTTCTTGCAACCCTGTCTGACTCCTGGGGTTGGTCCCCCTGGAGCAATGGGAGGCAGTGGCAGCTCCCTGGAAGAGGGGTGAGGGATCACCGGGGTCAGCCCTGTCCTCTTGGCCACAGGGGTGGGCCAGGGGCAAAGGGATCCCCCTGCAGAGCACCTGGCACAGCTGGTGTGGGCATCCTCCTGTGGGGACGTGGCTGGAGCTGTGTCCTCCCTGTGACACTGCTGGCTGCTGCAGGCACCAGAGGGACAGTTTTACTGGAGACCAGCTGCTTTTCTGCACTTTGTCCCCCTCTAAAAAAGCTGGAAGCTTGTTGCTTCAGCGATGCTTGATCCCTCCTTGCAGGGAGGTTGGGATTTTAGCTGTTGCTGTGTCCTAGGAGGAGGACTCTGGGCTGTGTGTCTGTGTGTGAGAACAGAACCTCTGTGTGCTGTGAGTGCTCCTGGGGCAGCTCCTGCACTGGGACCCTCTGGGGGTGTGGGCTGAGTGAAATGGGGGTGAAATCTGCCCCTGCATCCACAGCTTCTTCCCTCCCCCAGGAGATCAGTGGCTGGTACTACCTCCTCGGGGAGGACCTGGGCAGGACCAAGCACCTGAAGGTGGCCATGAGGCGGCTGAAGCAGAGCACAGGTGTGTGTCCCCACGGGAATGTCCCAGGGAGTGTTGGCAGGGCTTGGAAGAGGAGTCAGAGCCTTGTGTCTGAGCCTGTGCTGGTGTGGAGCATCCCCAGCCCCACTGCACCCTGTGCCCCCACGGGCACTGCTCACCCTGTGGTGCTCACTGGGCACTGGGATCCCCAAAAATCTGGTGTGGCTGAGACCTTGCCTGGCTCAGCAGGCTCTGCTTTGCCCTTCAACCTCACTCCTGCTCACCTGGGGCTCTGGGGGGATCCCAGCACTCTAGCCATGCTTGGTCTTTCCTCAGGCTGACTCCTGCCTCTCAGCTCTGGGGCTGAGCGCTGTGGCTGGGCTCTCTTTGGCTCCTGGGCTCTCTGTGCAGGATGATGGGGAGGTTTTTCTCCTGCCTCGGTCTTGCTGTGCTCCAGGGTGTGAGGAGGAGTGGGGGCTGGCACAGGGCAGGGTGGGACAGCAGTGCCTGTCCCAGGTGGGCAACCACCCTCCAGCTGCTGCCTGGAGGGGATGTGCCCGTGTAAAGATCTTACATGTGGTGTTTAGATGCAGTGTGGAAGGACAGGGATTGTCAGGAGGTATGTGCCACCACACTGATAAGGCCTTTCCCTTTTTTTATCTTTGATTTTTTATTTCAGGGCCGGTCCTGGGAAGTCAGAGTGCAGCTGAGGAGAGCCAGGATGCTGTGACCCTGAAGCAGCTGAAGGTGGGTATGACAGCACTGTGAAGACATGGGGTCAGGTGCCTGCATGGGGGGGGTTCCAAAGGAGCCAAGGGATGGTGTGTTAGTGAGGGTGATGCCAAGGTGAGCTCTGTCACACCGTGCCTGTTAGAGGGAATTTGTTATCCTCATCCAGCACCAGCTGTGGACGTAGGTGATGGAGTAACACCCCCACACTCCCTATTGCCCCAGGGGGCAGTTTTTCCAGTATATTCCCACACAGAGACCCTCCTGGGAGCAGAGGGACAGGGCTGGCAGGCTGCCTGCCCGCGGCATCATCCCTGGCCGGCTCCGTGTCTCCGGGCGCGTCTGCTCCTCTGCTCCTCCTTCCAGGGCCGTGCGCTCTGGGAAGGGAAAGGCCCGTGGTGGAGCCTCGGTGATTTATAGGAAAGGCAAGGATGGGAAACTGGAACACAAACACATGGTTTGCCTCGGAAATGGGGCTCGGGCGGCCCCGTGATTTATCTGGGCCGGATTCCGCTCTGAGCGTCCCTCAGCTGCATTTGCAGTTATTTGTTTGAGGGCCCAGGACCGAGCAGGACAAACAAAGCCAGCGCCCCTCTCCTCCCTTCCTCTCCGGCAGTCGCCACGGACTTGAAAGGTGGTGGCTGGGAAGGAAGGCTGATCCTCCTTCCAGCTCCAGTTCCAGCCTGGCAGTGCTGGGACAATGCTCCTGGAGCAGCCTGGGCAGTGCCTCTGATGGCTCTGTGCTAGGAGTCCCCTGGGAGTGCTGGGGCTTATGAGCCCCATCTGCCCTCCCCTGTCCCTGCCACCCCAGCTGCAGCGTGAAGGAGCCCAGGGTTTGGTTCCCTTGAGCTTTTTCTCCATTTTCCATCCCCCTGTAGGAGTGTGGAAGGTGTTTTTATTCTCCATCCTCATCTTCAAGGAATTGGAACCCCATCTCCAAGGAGTTGTGCCTAACTCTGTCGTGCAGTGGGGCTGTGAGCCCTGCTGTGTGCTGTGCTGCTGGCTCTGCTGAGAGTTTCTCTTGCTCTTTAATTCCCAAATTACACCAGGAGTGCAGTTCAGTTGACCTCTCTGCTCGCCCCTCTGTGACTGTGGGAGCGCAAAGCCACCGGGATGTGTGTATCCTCTGGGGCTGTGCCTTCAAAAACAAACTGCTCTTTCTTTTTTTTTTTTAAAAAAAAAAAAAAACAAAAACAAAAACAAAAACAAAAAACCAAACAAAAAAACCCCCAAACCTCTTATTTTTTTACAAGTGTGAGTTGCCTCTTTAACGCAGTGAAGCTCCCACAGCCGGTGCCTGTGAAACGCCGCTCGCACATCCTCCGAGTGTTTGTGAGAACGCTGCAATAACAAAGTGCTCCGTGCGGCCGGAGAATGCCACGGGAACAAAAGCCACATCAACAGAGCGGGGGCTAGGGAATACTAAAGAGTTGACAGGAATTTTAATATAAAACTCTCTCCCTTCCTCGTCAGCGAGGGCTTTCAGGAAGCCTCTGGCTTATCGTGGCGCGGCACACGGCCCAGGCAGGGGCCTGGGAGGTGAAAGGTGGCTTCCTGCCATTCTTCTGCAGAGCTGGGTTCCCATGGGCGGTCATGCCAGCGTGACTGGGGCTCGCTCCGCACTCGTGCGACACGAGCAGCTCGGGATCGTGGCCGCTGCGGGGCCAGTGGATTTTCATGGGCTAGCGGCGGGTTCGGGGTGTCCACCATGAACCGCTTCAATGGACTGTGCAAGGTGTGCTCGGAGCGCAGATACAGGCAGGTCTGTGCCCCTGGGGAAGGGTCCCTGTGCCATGGCAGTGTTGGGGCTGGGAGCCTTGCAGGAGTGTCTGGGGCTTCTCCTGCCAGTGCTGGGCTCTGGGTGTGCTGCTTCTGGGGTGTCGACTTGCTACCGTTAGAATTTATATATTTAAAGATGTGATTATATTTAGTACAAATGTTTAATATAAATATATATATATATAGATATAATTGCATATTGTTATAATTCCCAAATTATGACATTGGGGATATAAGGAAAGCATCTTCAGATGGGTGGCTGTGGCTGATCTCTGCCTGTTGCTGCAGTGGAGAGATGGGGAGAAAGGGATATTTTTATATATATATATATATATATATATATATATAAACATATACATATACATAAATAGATACACATGCATATGTATATGCATATATGTATGAAAATACCTAAATCTAATATGAATATATTTTATTTATATATAAAACTAATACTAAAATACATAACTCTGATATGAATATATTTTATTTATATATAAAAATAATACTAAAATACATAAGTCTGATATGAATATATTTTATTTAAATGTAAGAATTCATTCACTGTGCATGGTGACAGTAACAGAATTGAGTTGCGAGGTGTTGTCTTAATTTCCCCCTCATCAGGGGCAAGGCAGGCACAGCAGGCTGCTACTGTCTCTTTTTAAGTTGTCTTAGTGTATTTGGGAGCCAACAGCAACTTGCTTTCTGAGGAGTTGCTTGCTGTGCTCTGTGGAAGCTGCGTTGCAGTTCTCTCTTGCCTGGTGTGCAATGCCAGCTGCTGGTTTTCCATGAGCATTTCCCAACCTCCTGCACTTTCAAACAGGTTTTCCCTCCGTGCTCTGGGTCGGGATTCCCAGCTCAGGTTCAGCTTCTCCCTGCACTCCTGTGCTCACCTTTCAGGTTAAGCTGAAGCTGCTTTGGGAAACAGTGAATACTGGGGATTTCAAAAGCAGCACTTTAACCCAAACAGTGAATACTGGGGATTTCAAAAGCAGCACTTTAACCCAAACAGTGAATACTGGGGATTTCAAAAGCAGCAGTTTAACCCAAACTGCCCAATTCTTGCCGGGGCTGTAGTGACCATTCCATGCAGGAATGTTGCTCTACCTGGTATTAATGGCAATTAATAGTCTGTTTTGTGTCTTAGACCCTTTCAAGGCTCTATTTTGAAAATTTCTTCTGCATTCTTTGACAAAATTTGGGTACAACGAGCCTCTGTGGTGCTGGGGTCTCTCCCCACCTGCCCACCCACCCACCTCCCATCTTGTGCCAGATGCTCAGAGTTCTTAGTTCTGTGCACAGCAGAAAAATGGGCAAAAAATCATCTGCCTGTGATGGCCACGGAGATGGGAACTGAGGAGAAGGAACCAACAGGGAGAAGCTGCTCTTCAGTGGCACAGGGAAGGGGTCTCTGTTGGTGGGGGACAAGAGCCAGCCAGCTCAGGGAGAAGGAGTGGGAGACCTCAAGGCCGTGGGCTGGGAAGTGCCCGTGGAGTCTCCGTGGTGGGAGAGATGCTGGGCTGGCTCCTGAGGTGCTGCAGGAGCTCAGATCCCCTGTGCTTGGCACTGGAGGTGGAATCACAGAATGCAGAATATCCTGAGCTGGAAGGGACTCACAGGGATCAGTCCTTGTCGGGCTGAGCTGGGAGGTTGGGTTGAAGGTCCAGAGCCACCTCTTTGAGGATCCAACAAACTGCAGAGAGTGAAAGACTCAGCGTGGTGGGACTGCACCTATGTTTTAATCTTGCCAGGGAAAGCCAGTTTCTCTTTTGAAACCTGATTTTATGCCGAGCAGGGACAAGGTGCAGGGAAATGAAAGTTCCCTGCATTTGTAAAGGAGCAAGGGACCAGATCTCCTCCTTGGCAGCTTCTGCTGAATTCCTCTTCTCTCTGACTGTTTGTTCTCAAAATAATACAGGTCAGAGGTTGGATTTTTAATTTTCTTTTCTCTGTCAGTAAAACAAGCATCTTGACTAATGTCTTGGGGGCTAATCAGGTATTTACAGGATCTGTCATGCTGAGCTGCTGCTGGAAGCCAACGTCAAAAAATAAGTATCATTTTATTAATAAGCTCAATGCTCCTTGAATCAGGGGGAGAAATGAGCCTAAATCAACACAGCATCCAGCCTCTCCAAACTCAGCAAGGGAAAACACACTCAGCCCAGGGAGGGGGTGATGCACACAGCCTGGGCCAGCA